CCCTGCTGTCACCCTGACAAGCCCTTCCCAGCTGCCTCCATAACCTCTCTCCGTCGTCCTCACTCCCTCCGTCCCGCCGGCTAGCTGCCTTACCTACTTCCTCAGCCCTTCAGCAGTGCCCAGAAGCCCCTCCCGGGGACCTGCCGCTTCCTCACCTGCCATCAGGATCGCTCATCACCTGCTTCTGTCTTACCCAACCCCCTCCTCAGATCCTGTCACCCCCCCCATCCCTTCCCTTCCCCTCTGCCTCCTTCCACATCTCTTTTCACCTGTTCCCACTATCCCTCACTGGGCTCCTTCACCTCCCCTTATCTGCACTCCCAGATTCCCACAGACACCTGGCTCACACCTTGCATAGTTACACATCAACACCTCAACTCACATACCATGATGAGGTCCCTCCCTTGCTGTGTCTCCCTCCCTGTCTCCCTGCCCACCCCCCACACACACTTGGCCCTACACTGTCTGACAGATATTCATAAAAACCTCTTCCACAAGCCCCCTCACAGGACACACCCATGCCTCCACATACCCAAAGGGTCCTGAGGGGGCAGTAATGGGGCAGCCAAGTTTCTTGTGGCCTGTCATCCAACCTAGTCTAAGCTGAGTGCAGTCCTCAGAGGCAGAGAGTGAGGACGGTGGACAGGAAGAGGCAGGGAACCCCCATTTAGCCTCCTGCTGCCACTCTCCCTTTTCCCACCCCACCTGTTCCTTCTAGGCTTGCCCATCTTGAAACTGGTTGCTGCATCCCCATTTTTCTCATCAACCTATAGAATCCCCTATCACAGGGCTGGAAAGCCCACCAGAGGTCACCAACTGCACAAAGCTCTCTCCCTACTGGTTCAATGGCTTCTTCGGTCTTGTCCTCAACTTGTTTCCACCTTTATTCCAGAATCCCCCACCCCCTACCTCTCCCTTTATCCTGCCATTGCTCTCACTGCCCTCTGAATTCCTGATGCCCCACATGGCACTTTGGCAGAAGGTGGGCAGCGGCCTATTCGGCATCCCCACAGTTCTGATGCTCTGAAGTTGGGTGGGTTGGAGGAATGAGTCAGCTGAGTCACTTGAAGAAAGACAGGACAAGAGCGACAGTGTCCCTCTGCATGAAGACCTGTTCTCCACATGACCCTCATGGCGCACCATGACCTGTTAAAGGTTGTTTCTATGCCTTTACTATCCCACACTGCCCCCTGTATCAGGATGACTAGACACAGGAGCCTGGGGGAAATATCCCCATCCCAAGGAAAAACAGGTTTATGGAGTTTCGGCCCCATCCATAGATACCTTAGTCACTTTCCTCCTCCCCGCCTCCCTTCTACCCCACCTCGTCCCCAGCTGGAGTAACTAACTGCCTTCCAGTTGTGACTGTCCAGGGTCCCTGTGAGGGCAGAGCAGTGTTCTTATCCAAAGTGTAGGGGGAAAGAAGAGAAGAGAAGATCCTGGTTCCAATCCTGTATGGGTTTGACAGAAATCTCAAAAAACAGCCCCCTGCCTACACACATGCCCATCACAGACAGACACAAAAACGCGCATAAGCACACGCAGACGGATGGACAGGCACAGACACACACACAAAGACATATATACATACTCGCGGAAGGCCACACGTGCGGGTACGCACGCAGACGCATACACGTGCACACACATTTATTTCCCTGGATAACACTGGCGGGCTTTCCCAAGCCTCACGCTCAGGACACTCTCTTTGATATTCAACTTCTACCTCTATGCCAGTGCCATCCTCCTTGTTCTGGAGCAGACAGAAGGTGTGGTCGGAGCTCTCTCAGCACACGCCCACCCCGACCTTCCTCCTGCCTCCTGTTAGACCCATCCCACTCCCTGTTGTCCCCAAGACGCGCCCCCCCCAAACCACCACCCAGTTCAGCCTGTCTCTCTCCCTTGGAGTGGCCGCAGGTTTGCGGTCCCTCTAAAATCCATGTGCTGAGCCATCACCTTATGTTCACCCCATGGCTCACATCCTTGCTTCTGAACCCCACGGCTGTCAGTGAGTTGGGCTCACCCCTGAGAATGGTGTGCGCCTCACACACTGCATCATCCTCACTTAGCACCACCCCCGAGGGGCTGCTGTGTATCTCCTTTTCTTGATTATCCCGGGTCCCGCGGTTGATTAGCATCACTCTGGAGTGGGTCTCCCATGGGTCACCCCTTGGTCGGCAGGTCTCCCCTTTTAGTAAGCTTCAGATGCACAGCTCCATGGGCATTTGGTGGCACCTCTGCATAGGAATGTGTGGGTGTTGGGGGAGCCTCGGATCAAGTCACTCAGACGGGTCCTTCTTGGCCCAGGTGTCCCCTACCCAAGCATGGGTCCTAGATTTGTATGCCCCTCCCTGGGGGCAGTTAGCCAGTCTCCTCCACATTAGCATCTCTCTCTTTGGGAAATGCTGTCCCCATAGCCTGTTCGCTTGGCATTTTCCTCTCCTTTTTTCAACATGTGCGTCCTGTTGTTGGGTTTCACATCCCCAGTTTGTAGTCTGTGTCTCCCTTCCCGTGGGTAGTATTTCTGTCTTCTCTTCTGGCCTCCACCTGGGTGTTTACACAGTGCTTCCCCCAGTAACCCCTGGAGCATCTGCCCAGCGGGCCCGGGAAGGATGCCTGCCAGGAGAATGGCGCTCCCCTCCTCCGTATCTGCGAGCCGGTCCCGGGTGCGTTGCCTGCCCCACTCACAGCCCCTCCCCACTCCCCCAGGTAGATGGCCCCCCCAGGGCAGGCCCTGCGGACACCCCTCCCTCCGGCTGGCGGATGCAGTGCCTAGCGGCCGCTCTTAAGGACGAAACCAACATGAGTGGGGGAGGGGAGCAGGCCGACATACTGCCGGCCAACTACGTGGTCAAGGACCGCTGGAAGGTGGTGAGTGACCCGGCGGGGCCAAGGGAGGGGAGGGGAGAGGAGGGGAGGGGAGGGGAGGAGAGGACCGGAGACCTGTTAAAACAGTTGCTCCCAACTCCTCTCCCCTAAGAGGGAGGTGCCCCCGAGTTCATCTGCGTTCTGCTTGCCGTCACTGTTCTGGCGTACACTTGTGGACAATCGCTTTCTCCCAGCGCCCTGGCTCACCCCTTTCCCGGCCAGGGCACGTTGCTCGGGCCCAGCCTGAGCAGGAGCTGCAGAGCTCTGTGGGGGAGGCGGGCGGGGTGGGGGCGGGGGCTCTTTCGTTGCCGGACCTTGGAGAAGGGCAGTGAGCGAGCACGTGTCCCTCCGCTTCCGCAGAGGACAGAAAGGCCTGGCTTCGGGGAAAGAGGCCTTGCGGGCGCTCCCACCGCAGCCGCACTCCATCTTCTTCCACCCTCCTCCCCTCACTGGTTCCTGCGGCAGGTGCAAGACGCCGAGACTCCATGTCCCAGCGTGCCTTGCTCCTCCAGCCCAGGACTTCGGGCTGTTCCGCCTGCTGGGAGTTGTAGTCCGAGGCTCCTCGGGGTTTGGGCCTGGATGGGAGGGGGACCATGTGAGGGGTTGGGGGAAAGGCAGTGTCTGGGGAGCGGGACCTATCGTAAATCAATCCCTGTCCATCCCCCCCCCCTTTTCCTTCCGTCGCTTAAGAGCTCTCTGGTGTCCTCTTATTGTGGGGGCAGGATGGTGTAGGGTGGATTGCTGGATGATGGTGTGTGAGCTTGTGGGTCTGCACGGCTGAGTGGAGAGCCTGGAGGAGAGGAGGGAGAACAACACAGGCCTACACTGAGCCTCTGTGTGGAGGTGTGGGGGAGTTGGAGGCGGGGCTCAGCTCATCTGGGCTGCAGGGTTAAGGGGAGAGTGGGGCCTTGGTGCCAGCTGGTCTCCACGGCAACAACTACCCTTCTGGCAGGTTCCCTAAAGGCCCAGGGACAGGGGCAAAGGTGGTAGCGTTGTCTGAGATGTCTCTGGGACTGGGAGAGGTGGTGGCACCGGAGGGCCAGAGAGCTAAGGGGAGGGGCCGTCTAGGTCCCGGAGGGGACTTCCTGAGAGGGAGAGTGACAGGACAGAAATGGGGGGAAGAGGAGCCAGGGCGGTAATCAAAGGAATGAGGGTCTGGCAAAATGAGGAGTGTTCCTCCAAAAACCCTCTGGGTCCCCTGACATGAGAGCTTAGTTTCTGACAGATTGGAGGCAGAATTTTGCCCTGAAGAGGTGAGAAAAAGATGGTGTTCACACCATACTGAGTTTGGGTTAGAACTTTCTGCTGCTTTTTGAGGGAGGTGGTGGGAGATGAGTAGGGAGAGACATGGTGGGGGGGGTGTTGGGGGAAGGGGCAAGTGTGCAATCTTTGCCAGGCTGACCTCTCTTTACCGTCACTCCCTCCCTGGCTCCTGGAGAAGTAGGAAGGGTGGGGTGCCGGATGCCTCCCCTCAGCCAACTCCCCATGAGGGGCGGGGGACAGAGACATGAGGCAGAGCTCAGGAACCAAGAACACGCTGTCCAAAGAGAAAATGAGCCGGCCTGGAGAAAGGGAGGGGCGGTGGCACTAGGTGGAGTATTTACAAATAAGAACATTTGACTCTTCTTGAGGGATGCTTCTCAGAATCAGAATAGCAAACAATACCACTGTTAATAAAAACAGCATTCAGTTTTGAGCACTTACTGTTGCCAGACACTGTGCAAAATGTCTTACATGCATTATCTCAGCAAACAGTGGAATAGATGTTATTACCCCCTTTTCACAGGTGTGGAAACAGGTACAGAGACTGGTTCACCTGCCACGTTCTCATGATGGCCAGGTGGAACCAGGTCTGTCTGACTGCTGGGGGGCCGGTCACTAAGCCGTACTGCTTCCCAAGAATTAGCCCACCCAAGAATCAGGAGCACAGAGACGAAGGAGTCTTTGTGACCAGTTCTAGAGCAACTCTTTCATTTGACAGAGGAGGAAAAGTGGAGGCACAGAATTTAAGAAACTCACTCCAGGTGACCCAGAGCTGGGCCAAGAAACTAGGTTTCCCTTCTCCTAAGTGAATGCTTGTCCTATTGTGTCATATAGCCCTCCAGTAGCCCTCCTTTGACAGGGGAGGGCATCCTGAAAAAAATTAGGAGGGGAGGAATAGGGTCGGGCAAAAGGAGATTGAGAGAACATTCTGGTTACCTGGCGTGGACAGGGCTGCATTATGACTTTCATGGGCCCTGGGCACTTTTGCTTTCATGGACCCCTTTCTCTATAATAAAGTACTAAAAACTGTATTTTATGACTGCATTGGTATAAAGAGGGATGAATTAACATTATATATTAAAATGTCTTGACCTAAGAGATCATTTGTTTTCCTTCTGAATTAAAAATATTGAAACATTTTTATGGCGCCCTGAAAGTATTATGGGCCACAGTGCCTGCTATGCCCGATGGATAAGTGGGGTCTGTAGGGCCTGGGGAGGAGGGGTGTTAGGTGAGTGGGTGGGTGCACACCCCAACTTGCTGTCCCAGGGAGGTTTGGCAATGGGTGGGGGGGGGAACAGGTGGGGGTTAAGGGAGGAGAAACAGCCTCTGTTTGGAAGTGAAGAGGGCAAAGACATACCATTGACCACCCTTGGAAATTGGGCAGCGGGTATGGGAAATGTCTTGGCTGCCCCGAGCCCTCCTTACCACCTCGGGTGAGGATATGGGGGCCTGGCAGATTCGGGCTTGAATCTCAGCACTCACAGCTTTAAGCTCTGTGCAGTCACCAGTTGCTGTGATATGGCAGTTAAGCGCCTGGGTTTAAATGAAACCTGGCGTTGCTGCTTACTAGCAAGTGTGACCTGTGACTACTTCACTCCCTGCGCCTTAGTTTTCCTTCTGTGCAAAATGGTGACTTTTATGACCTTCTGCACCTGTGTTGTCAGGAACCATAGGGGATGAGCTCAGATGATGGCTGAGAGCCTGGAGCACATAACCCAAGATGTGGTTCTTGTTCCCTCCCCCTCCCCCCTTTCTCCCATGCTCGCACACAACAAACCATAACGGATTCTAGAAGATACTAGAATCTCTCCTGAGTTTAAAGTTCTCCAGAGGGAGACATGCCGCTGCTTTCCTTGAGTCTGTGTCTATCCCCTCCTGATTCTGAAATTCTTCCAGGAGGGGCGCCTGCATGGCTCAGTCAGTTAAGCGGTTAAGCGTCTGCCTTCAGCTCAGGTCATGATCCCAGGGTCCTGGGATCGGAGCGGGCTCCCTGCTCAGCGGGGGGCCTGCTTCTCCCTCTCCTGCTCCCCCTACTTGTGCTCTCTCCCTCTTTCTCTGTCAAATAAATAAATAAGTCTTTAAAACATTTTTTAAAAAATGAAATTCTTCTAGGAGTCTGACTTAACTTTTGTCTCAAGTACTGAGAGACTCTGGTTTCAGACCATCCTTCCTCCTTTCTCTTTCCCTTGTCTCCTTCCTGGGCAAAAGAGCCTTCGGGATGCAGCCAGACGTCCACTCCTCTTCTAAATCTTCCCTTTATCCTTCTGTCTTTTCTTGGAGTGGTTTCAACTGTAACCCGCTGGGAACTCCCAGTCCTGGGCTCTGCCCTGCCTCCTTCCCCGCTCCATCCCCGTGCTTCAGCCACCATTAAACTATTAATGGGACCTGAGTGCTGAATAAATGCTAAGGGGAGGGCTTGGAGATGCATGACGCTCAGAGTCAGTTTACAGGCTGGCTGATCTGAGCAGCCTCCGCCCAATCCCTAGCAAGCCCAGCTCTGCTGGTGAGTTAACAGGCCAACAGGAGGCAAGTGAGTGTTCTGGAAGATGTTCAGCGAAGGCAGGCCACCCGTGAGGTGAGCTCTACATTTTTTTTAACCAACTGAGTCCCAGCTTAGAACTCAGCACCTTCCCCTTGTCCCTCATCATTGCCAGCAGCACATTGGCTCTCCAGGAACCCCGGTGCCTCTGACTTGAAATGATTTTAATCCTTCCCCATCACTCAGCTTTGCTCATCTCCCCTGGCTGACCCTTCCTCCAACTCAGTTCTCCCCTCTGCCTTTTCTCACTGCCTGCCATGGGATGCTGGAGGAGGAGGGCCTAGAGGGTCAGGTCTGTACTGCCTCGCCCCCTGGGGGGGGGGGCGGGAATAGCCGGACTCTCCGAACCTGCATTCCCACCAGGGTCCCGCGCGCCCCCTGCCCCCAGAGGAGGCTCACCCTGGTTCGGGGCATCTGACCAGGGGTCTAGGGAGTGCCGTGAGCTTCAGCAATGGGCATGGACAATGAATACCCTTCCTTTGCTGAGTCTCCTCCCCAAATACTCCCCTCTCCCCCGCCCGCCCTATTACTCTCTCCCTTTAATGACACCTGTCAGGAGACTGCCCACCTGAGGAAGGGCCTGCTTCTCTGGAGGATCCACCCTGAAGCAGGGAGGTTCTGGAAATAGTTTTCCTTCTGGATGGTGGTTGTTCAGTCTAGTTGCAGGGTAGGGGAAGGGTGATATTTCTTGTCCTTCCAGAGAAGAAAAGTTTCACGATGGCCCATGATCTCTTCAGAACCCTACACAAGCTCTTCTCCATGTCTATGTGGAGTCAGAGGTCTCATACCCTCTCCCACCTCCCACTCTGACATCTAGCCGTGTGTGTGTGTGTGTGTGTGTGTGTGTGTGTGTGTGAGCGCGCGTGCGCGCGCGCACATCCATGGGCTGAGCTGTCTCTGGCACTAGGAGAGGAGGAAGGGGCAATGGCGGGTAGGGCAAGGGAGGCAGACACAGGGTCCTCCCCTTCAAGGCTAGCCCTACCCCCACCAATAAAGGGTATGAGCCAGCAACGGATGGGATGAGGAGCTGCTGAGCCTGATCCCTGTGTTTCCTATCCCCTTCTTCCATCTCCGTAGCTGAAAAAGATCGGGGGCGGGGGCTTTGGTGAGATCTACGAGGCCATGGACCTGCTGACCAGGGAGAACGTGGCCCTCAAGGTGGAGTCAGCCCAGCAGCCCAAGCAGGTCCTCAAGATGGAGGTGGCTGTGCTCAAAAAGCTGCAAGGTGCTGGTCAAGGGCAGGAGGATGGGAGCGGAGAGGTGCCAGTTGGAGTCTGGGGCTAAGGGAGAGCTGATGGGGATGGTGAGATGGGGCCAGAGTCTAAAGGGTGGTGATGGGGAGAGGGGCAGGGGGAGGTGGGGGGAGGAGTCATGGGACCAGGAATCAAGAGCACACTGGAGACACCTGAGGATTGGGAAGTGAGGAAGAAGGAGTGGGAGTTGGGAGACCCCTGTCTGTGCCCCACAGGGAAAAGCCACGTGTGCAGGTTCATTGGCTGTGGCCGGAATGAGAAATTTAATTACGTAGTGATGCAGCTCCAGGTGAGTCCCGTGGGGTCCTCCCTCCACTCTCCCCCAAAAGCTTGGGTTGTGACCGCTGGAGTGGGGAGTGGGCACAAACCTTTGGGGATGAGGCTGGGCAGAGTGTCACAGTGGTGCAGCGGGGAGGGGGGCAGGGCAGCCGAGCCTAGCCAGCCCCCACCTCCACCCCCAGGGCCGGAACCTGGCCGACCTGCGCCGCAGCCAGCCGCGAGGCACCTTCACGCTGAGCACCACGCTGCGGCTGGGCAAGCAGATTCTGGAGTCCATTGAGGCCATCCACTCTGTGGGCTTCCTGCATCGTGACATCAAGCCGGTGAGGGCTGCCCTACCTGGCCCCTCCTCCAAAGCACATCCCCCCCCCCACACCTCTCCCTCTCTGGGTCCCCTGGTTTCTCCTCCAGAGCAGTGGTTGGGGCAGGAAAAGCCTCTTCTACCTGCTCCTTCCTCCTGCTCTCAGCCCCAAGCCCCTTCTCCTCCTCTCCCCTGCCTGCCAAGAGCACACACCCCAGCCTGCCCCTGGCCCACATCTCTCCTCTGTTCTTCTCTTCTCCCTTACCCCTGCCCTGATTAGTCCTTGAACTTCGGAAGGTGCAGGGGTTAGGGAAACACAGAGGAATCTCTAGAGAAAGGGACGGAGGGGCTGGGCTTGGTAAGGAATTCCAAGTAGCTGATGGTGTGGCATCTTGGATCCGGTGTTGTAAAGACCTCCATTTTAAATAAGGGCTGACAACTGAGGTCCAGAAAGACTGGCTGAATGGCCCAAGGTCACACAGCAAGAACAACACAGGTCTTCTGCTGCCTCAGAGCAGGATAGTGTCACTAAGCCACATGGCCCTACCGGGGCGTCCCAAGGATTGAGGGCTGGACACACACCTCAGTTCAACCCCCAGCTGGGTCATCCCCTGCTGTGTGGTCTTGGAGAAGCCACATCAGCTCTTTGACCTTCGGTATCCTCATCTCTAAGATGAGGGTGATCCCACCTACTTCTCAGATGGGATACGACAACCTGCGGTCCACGGTGGTGTTTACACTTAAGGTGCCCCTTGAGGTGGGCCGGGTGGGGTTGGAGCCCCATGGTCATAGCTCCCGTCTTCCGCAGTCCAACTTTGCCATGGGCAGGCTGCCCTCCACCTACAGAAAGTGCTACATGTTGGACTTCGGGCTGGCCCGGCAGTACACCAACACCACAGGGGACGTTCGGCCAGTGAGTACCGCCACGCGCAGGGGTCCCTGGCCGCCCTGCTGCCTGCCTGACCCGGGGACCCTTCATCAGTTTTCCTGCAGCTGCCTAAGCAGGCCCGGCCTGGGTTCAGCATAACCGCACCCAGCCCGGTCTACACTCAGCCCGTCCTCCGGCTCCTGGGGCTCTGGGCAGATGCCATAGCCTCACCCTGTGATCCACACCCTGTGACCTGGCTGCCCACCCGGGTTAGGGATGGACACAGGGGCAGTGATCAGGGTCAGGAGGCAGGGGCAGGACTGGGGCTGGTGTGGCAGGCTTGGGGAGGGGGAGGGAGTCAGGGGTAAAGTAGGCGGAGTTAGGCTCCGGAAGCAGGGTGGAGATGTGGCCTGTGGCCGAAGCCAGGGGCGTTGGGTGAGGGTCCTGCTGTGTTCTCCCTTTTGCAGCCCCGGAATGTGGCCGGGTTTCGAGGGACTGTTCGTTATGCATCAGTCAATGCCCACAAGAACCGGGTGAGTGGCAGAGCTGCGCCTGAGTGTGAGGAGCGGGGGCGGCAGTAGGGCCAGGGGCAGGGGCAGAGTGTGCAGCTGAGGAAGAGGGTAGGGCGGGCAGCCGTCGAGGTGGGGAGACAAGTACGGGGCAGGGGCTGGGAGCTGCCACGCCAGAGACCGTGGCTGGAAGAAGGCTCTGTTGCCATCTCCCCATGACTTCACCTTCGTCCTTGTTTTGGGGGATTCCCTCCTCTCTGGTCACACCATTAGTCTGTGTGGGGTGCAGAAGCATGGACAGAAGTTTTGACACTGGGATTCTATGCGTTTTGGAGGGTCAGGGATAGAGCCGTGGTTTCAGGGAGACCTCAGCTCCGCCCACGGGGATTTGGGTGTCAGGCCTCTCTGAGATATCCCCCTCAAGAAGGGTCAGCCCCCCCAGTCCCAGGGAAAGACCTGAGAGCTGTGGGTGACTCCCCTCGCCGCCGCACCCCCCTCCCCTCAGGAGATGGGCCGCCATGATGACCTGTGGTCGCTCTTCTACATGCTGGTGGAGTTTGCAGTGGGCCAGCTGCCCTGGAGGAAGATCAAGGATAAGGTGAGCCCCGTGCAGCTAGGTCTGAGGAGGTGGAGGGGGCGTGGGGGCACGGGGGCCCCATCACCCCGTGCCCTCTTGCCTCCAGGAGCAGGTAGGGATGATCAAGGAAAAGTATGAGCACCGGATGCTGCTGAAGCACATGCCTTCTGAGTTCCACCTCTTCCTGGACCACATCGCCAGCCTCGACTACTTCACCAAGCCCGATTACCAGGTGGGAGCCTGCCACCTGGCCCCCGCACCCCTGGACATCTCTGTGGGGGTGACCATCCCCAGCAGCACCCATACTGCTGAGAGCCCGCGCCCCTGTCGGCTGAGCCCTCTGCATCTCCCCCAGTCTTCCAACTGCATGACGCTGTTTTGTGCTCTTGTAAACGGTATTCATGGCTAAGAGTTACCAACAGCTTACCCTTTTCTCGGTGCTTTTCATGCATTAACTCATTTAAAATTCAAAACAAGCCTTTGGTGAGAATGTGTGTTCCTTATGTGATTATTCTAACACTTAACAATTAATGAAGCCAAGTGCTTTCAAGTACTTTACACCAGAACTCTGCATTGTCCCCATTTCACAGATGAGGAAACTAAGGCCTGATAGCAGGGCTGGGCTCAGGCACATCTTCTGACTCCCAAGTCCAGTGCTTTTTCCAAGGTGCCACCATCACACACGTAGGGGACTCACTTAGACCCTGACAGGAGTGGGGGATACATCAGCAGTGTTCTGCCCAGGACCCACTATGTGCCAGGCACAAGTCTACACACCCCAGGGAGCACAGCGACAGGCACGCAGGGGGCGTCAGTAAAGCGGGTCCTGCCAGCAGAGAGACCCTGCCCTGCATTCTGGAGAGAGCTAAGTCAGAAGTGGAATGGTCTGGGGGCCTCCGATGGTCTACAGGTGCCCACCACGTCCTGAGCCTAGAGCCCTGATGGTTGGCAGAGATGCCTCGCTTGGGCAATAGAAGGCCCTGCCCCCCAGTTCTCCTCCTGGTGTTCCCCAGACCAGACAGCTGCAAGCAAGCGAGCACACAGTGTGCTGGCTGCTAGGAACGCAGAGCGGCAGATCGGGGAGTGCGTGGGGTGGGGGAATCCGGGAAGGCTTCGCAGAGGAGAGGACTGGTGGGTTAGGCGGTGCCGCTGGAAGCAGCAGCCTGTGAGGAGCGTGACCCCACGTGGTGGCTTTGGGAAACTACCGGAGCTCCCTGGCTGCTGAGGCTTCCCGAGATGGTGGGGATGGCAAAGCAGGCTGGGGGGTAAGCAGGGGACAGATCTCAGAGGGCTGGTGCCCAGCCAGTGGGGCTCAAACCAAGACGGTAATTTGCATGCTGATTTACATATCATGTGCATGTTTTCATTTAAAATCAATGTGCCCTTCTCCTTCCAGTGCCCCCTCTCGGCCCATCCTTGTCCTGGAAGGTCCCTCTCTTCCCCCTGCAATCCTGGCAACTGCCCCCTCCTCCTGGCTAGCCCCAGGGTCACCTCTGTGTCCTCCCGCCACCCCCACCCCTGCAGTTGATCATGTCGGTGTTTGAGAACAGCATGAAGGAGCGGGGCATCGCTGAGAATGAGGCCTTTGACTGGGAGAAGGCGGGCACTGATGCCCTCCTGTCCACGAGCACCTCCACTCCACCCCAGCAGAACACCCGGCAGACGGCAGCCATGTTTGGGTGAGTCTCGGGAGGGACGATGGGCCAGTGGGGGGCCAGGTGACCCACAACTGCCACCCAGAAAGCCCTCTCCTCCTCTTCCTACCTGGACACACCTGGCTGTCTTTCCTATTCTTGGTGCTCAACAGTGGGGTTCTCGAACCCCAAGCAGTTCTGCCACATCTCCACCTTCAACGTGGGGACAGAGTGGGCGTCCTCATTTGGAGTTTTTGACCTTCCTGGGGAGTGGGGAACCCCGAGTGAAATTACCTGAGCCCCACAGTTTGTTTCTGTTGCTCACGCACATTCCTTTAGCAAACATGTCTTGAGCCTGTGTCCAGGGCCTTTGGGGCTCAGAGAAAAAACTTGCAGCCCCTGCCCTCAGAGTGCTCTCGGGTCTGGGGTATTTGTCACGGACGCGTCCGCGATATCAGAACCGGGTGACCAGCACAAAGACAGAGGCACCCAGGGAGGGGCCAGAGTGAGGAGGGGCACCCCACCCTGCCCCGGGGAAGAGCCAGGGAGAGACATGGGCAGGGGCTCCAGGAAAGAGACTCCGCAGGGCCTGATGGCACATCGTGGTGCCCCCGTTCGGCAAAGATACCACTCAAGGAGCTCCTAAGTGATTCTTCTCTTTAGACCCATTCCTGGTCTAAAGGAGGCCAGCCAGTGAACTGCAATGGAAATCTGGCAGGGCCGGGAAGGTAATGGGTCTCCTAAACTGATACGGTGACGTGGCCCCCATGCTGGGCAGCCACATGTCCTTGCCGCCCTGTGCCGGCCTGAGGGCGGCCCGCTTGCCGGCTTGGTGATGGGCCCGGGGACTCCCCGACCCCTGCCGAGGCCTCCCCTGTGCCCGCTCCCCAGGGGTGGCAGTGATCCGCAGGGCCTGTGCTGGGAGGAGAGAGCACCCCTGCCAGCCTTGCCCACGGCCCCTCCCGGCCTCTCCAGGGTGGTCAACGTGACGCCAGTGCCCGGGGACCTGCTCCGGGAGAACACCGAGGACGTGCTGCAGGGCGAGCACCTGAGTGACCAGGAGAACGCACCCCCAATCTTGCCTGGGCGGCCCCCTGAGGGGCTGGGTCCCAGCCCCCACCTGGCCCCCCACCCTGGGGGTCCTGAGGCTGAAGTCTGGGAGGAGACGGATGTCAACCGGAACAAACTCCGGATCAACATCGGCAAAGTAACTGCAGCCAGAGAGAAGGACGTGGGTGGCCTTCCCCCGCTCCCACCCTGGTTCCCAGCCCACGGCCCCCTTCCCTCTCCTCCTGTGTGCCCTCTCCCCGGCCACACGCCCGCTGGCCCTGCCTCCGAGGCCTCGCCCCATGTCAGGATCACCAGCGCCGACCTCCCTCTATCTCCTTCACCCTGGGAAAAGCACTTGACCCACAGCCACCCTGTTGGCCCCCGTTCATGGGACTCCCCTCTCCTGCAGACCCCTTGTGTGGTGGAAGAGGAGCAGAGCCGAGGTGTGGGGGTCCCTAGCTCCCCGGTGCGTGCCCCTCCAGACTCACCGACAACCCCAGTGCGTTCTCTTCGCTACCGGAGGGTCAACAGCCCTGAGTCTGAGAGGCTTTCCACAGCGGATGGACGGGTGGAACTGCACGAGAGGAGGTAGGTCTGGGGCCGGGGGGCGGCCAAGGACCCCTGGTCCCTTCAGCCTTCACGCGGCTTCTCTGCAGGAGAGATCAGATGCAAGGTGGAAGTGGGCGGGGCCCCTGGGAGTGTTGAGGGGCTACCCTTGGGCCTGGGGTCGGACTTGGTTAGTCAGTGACAGGGCCTGGAGAGGGGTGGGGGGTACAGAGGTCCTAGCTCATGCCACGAAGGGATGTGGGGTGGAGGTGGGCTGTAGGAAGGGTAGGCCGGGTCCTCAGGCCCAGGAGGAGGCGAGGGGTGAGCCGGTAGGTGGGTGTGCTTCCAGAACCTCTCCCTAGAAACTAATTACAGATGCCTCAGAGCAGCTGACTAAGCTCCCATCAGCTTTGGGGGAGGGGCCTGGGAGGAGAGCCCAGGGAGCGCTCAGCAACAAAAGGGGGCGGATCAAGATCTGGGGGTCAGGGGCTCAGAGATCTGAATATCATGGGGGGGACCTGACTGGTGGGACGGAGAGTTTAGAGCCAAAATGAGCCTTCAGGATGGGGGGTGTGAGGGTGGCCCATGGCCATCAGGGACCAGAGTCAGAACCCCCCACCTGAGGCCTCTAAGAGACGTCCCCACCCTCAAGTGGCTCTGGGTGGGGCTTCACCACACAGCAGGGCTGCAGTCTTCTCTGCACCAGGAAAGGGGCCTTTCTCAAGGCCCAGCTCAGGTGGATGGGGTGCTTCTTCCCAACCACGCGGTGTGCCTCCTCATCCCCACCCTACCCATGGCCCCTTCTCCGGATTCTGCTCCAAACTGCGCCCTGCCTCTGGGATGGGACGCAGTGTCTTTGGAATGTGGCAACGCTCAAGACAGGAGAGGCCTATGCCAGTCCCCGAGGCAACCCCAGGACAGAGGGACACGGGCCCTGTGCCCAGGTTGCCGACAGCCCTCACAGTCACGCAGGTCGGCCTCCCTGGGACTGAAGACCACGCTTGCATCCACAGCAGCCCAGAGGGTTGAGGAGAGGAGAGCCGAGGAACAGTAGTGTGGAAGGGGTATCAGTAGCGAAGAGAGGTGGGGATGCCCCAAACAGACAGTCCTGGAGAGCAGACGGGCTTGACTCGGAGTGAGCCCTTGTTTCGGGGCTAATGGGAAGAGGAGACAGCGGAGGAGAGATTTTCTGGAAGGGAAGGGTCAGGATCTTGTAGGGCAGGGCAGAGGGTTTGTGTGGGTTCTGGGGCTCTTAGGAGCAAGAAAAGGTATGAAGCAGATGGGATTGGATTGCCCACCTCCCCCCCCTTCCTTCACCCCCTTTCCCGACCTTCAGCCCCTCTCCTCCTTTGGCGCCCTCTCTCTTTTCTGTCCACCAAAACAAACCATGCGCTCAGGAAAGGAAGCCACAACAGCCATTTACATGGGAGACCCTGGATGGCCTCCCTCAGGGATGTATGTATTGTAAGCCTTATTAAGTCAGTAAAAATCTTGTGGAGAGGGAGGAGGTAAGTCCCACAGACCAGGGCGGGAGGATGTTGAGAAAGCCCCACAGTGGCTCTGAGCTGCACCCTTTTCTCTCACAGGCTCAAGGCCTGGGGAGAATAAAAGTCAGCCCCTTGCCCACAGCCCGAGCGTGAGGGTGTGCCCAACCCGAGGGAGCTAAGCCTCCATGGTTCTCAGTGGGGGGTGCCCTTCCTACAACCAGCAAAACCTTTACCTCTGCGCTGGTACCCAGCCCCCTCCCAGGTTGAGAAGGGGGAAGGTAACAGTGGAAGAGATGTCCCAAGGTAGGATCACTGACCCAGCGTGAAAAGTCGGGTGGGGCCCAGTCCCTGCCTGGGACGGCTGGGAGGGCAAGCTAGCACTCCCACCCCCCAGCAGGATGGAAAGGCTCCCCGCAGGTGGTGACATCCATGCCAGGTGGGACAGCAAAGGGTGTGTGGACAGTGACAGGTGAAATGGCACCAAAGTACGAGCACATGGGCAGTTTGGGGAAAAGCTAGTGAATCGGAGATGGGTCTGGCTAGAAGAATGGTGAACCTGGGCCTTGGCCTGGCCACTTGAGTGCCAAACTAAGTGCCAAACGAAGGAATATGGACTTTGTCCTCAAGGCTGGGAGCCACTGGAGTTTGTGGGGGTGGTGAAACCAGCCAGGCAGGCCTGGAGGGTGGTGGTAGAAGAAGCTAGAAAAACCATCTGCGCACTCAAGGCCCAGGTGGGTGCGTTTGCCCTGACGGCAGCAGGCGGGAGCCTCTGATAGGGTGTGAGCACCAGACCGGGAGCATAGAGTTGGCTTTTGGGAGATTAGTTTTTCCCTGGTGGTCCAGAAGAGAGCGCTCCTTGGGCACAGGAACGAGGTTTTATTTTCTGCCTGTTTGTATTCCAGGAACGCAGTAAGCATCCAAATCCGTGTGTTGAGTGAATGAATGGATGGATGGATGGATGGATGGATGGATGGATGGATGGATGGGATCTCCACGGGGAGTGAGGTGGGGGGAGGGGGTGGTAAGCCAGGAGGTGACCAGGTCTGGCCCCGGGTGGCAGAGATGCTCTGGTCAGCGGGTTCCAGGTGGCACGTCCCACCTGGCCACCGGCTTGAGTTCCTTAGAGATTTGGAGAGGCCGGGCACTGAACCTCACTCGGGGTGGCTTTGCAGGTCACGAATGGATCTGCCCGGCTCCCCCTCGCGCCAGGCCTGCTCCTCGCAGCCGGCCCAGATGCTGTCAGTGGACACGGGCCACCCCGACCGGCAGGCCAGCGGCCGCATGGACGTGTCGGCCTCCGTGGAACAGGAGGCCCTCAGCAACGCCTTCCGCTCTGTGCCGCTGGCTGAGGAGGAGGACTTTGACAGCAAGGAGTGGGTCATCATTGACAAGGAGACAGAGCTCAAGGACTTCCCCCCGGGGGCCGAGCCCAGCACATCGGGCACCACGGACGAGGAGCCTGAGGAGCTGCGGCCACTGCCTGAGGAGGGCGAGGAGCGGCGGCGGCCAGGGACAGAGCCTAGCGTCAGGCCCCGGGGCCGAGGCATGCAGACTCTGGCCGAGGAGGACCCTCGGCAGACTCCATTCCAGCCCCTACCACCCCCGCTGAGCCAGGCCGAAGGCCGGTCAGAGACGTCACAGCCCCCCACGCCCGGCAGCCCTTCCCACTCGCCCCTGCACTCGGGACCCCGCCCTCGACGGAGAGAGTCGGATCCCACAGGCCCGCAGAGACAGGTAAGGCTGGGCTTGCACCCCACTCCCCACCCCTGGATGCCCATAGTTTTTGCCTGGAGTGCTCCCCGTGGGCTCCCCGTGGGCTCCATGGGGGCTGCTGACTAGCACCCAACAGTTGCAGGCTGCGATGAAGGTAGACAGGTTTAAAGGTCCAAAACCATGCTTGGGGGACGGTCGGAGCTTCCCAGAGGAAGCGTCCTCCAAGTTCTGAGTTGAGTCTTGCACGATGAACAGCGTCAGCCAGGTGACAAAGCAGGAGAAAGGCCTCTGGGGCCAAGGGGACCGTGTGTGCAAAGGCCCGGGGGCGATAGTGAGAAAGCACTGCCCTGATGGCATGTTGCAGAGCAGATGAAGCTGCGAGGCAGGTCCCCGGCCCCATCCCGGAGGGCCTCGGGGAGAAGCTAAAGGGTTAGGGTTTGATTCTGAAGGCTCGGTGAGCCACCCAAGGCTTTTAAACAGGGGTGTGCCATGATCCCATCGGTGCTCTTGAATGATCCCTCTGGCAGCTGGGTGAAAACGGAAGGAAGGGCCCAGAACTATAAGCAGGAAGGCCCCACGGCAGGCGCCAGCAGGAGAACACCTTGGTGGCCTGGACCAGGCCGGGGGCTCTGGATGTGGGGCAGGGTGGGCGGAACCAAGAGGTGTGGGGAAGAGGCCTGAGGGGCTGTGAACAGGGGGTTCTCGGCCGATGCTGAGAGTTCTGGGTGGACAGTGGTGACATCGCTGAGTGGTTTTGAAGGGAGCATGGACCCTCAGATGGGCCGGGGAGAGCCAAGGAGGTGACACTGGAGGGCTCTGGGGCTGTGCCGCGTTCCACTCAGTCACCCCACGTCAGGGGCATGTGCCAGGTGGCTCTGGTTCAGGGCCAAGGTCAGATCAATCCGCTGCATGAGCAGATTGGGAGGCCTGGCCTGGGAGCCCACGGGTGCCTGGGAGAAGGGCAGCCCCAGGCAGGGCTGTTTAGGCCCCATCCTCTTGTCTAGAAAAGAGGGGCCTCTGAGCTGAGATCCTCAGGGGTGTGCATCCTAGCCGTGCCGCGGATTCTGGAAAACTGGGGGCTCAGAAAGTGGGAACTCTGGAAATACGGCACCCAGAGAGGTCCTAGCCAACCTGAGTTGGAGGCTCAGCCAGGGTAGGGTTGGGCCGGCATGACTGGGTTGGGGTCCTTGTTCCCACCAGGGCCAGCACCGGAGAGAGAACAAGATCTGTTTCGCTCCTCTCTCATGTTTTCCTGCATTCATTCATTCATCTGTTCGGTGCCTAGTCCTTCCACACTTGCTGAGCGTCTAGCCTATGCCGGGTGCCAGAGGCATCAGAGGTCATGTGCACCCACAGCAAGTGCAGAGTTTAGGAGGGAGACTGACAGGGGTGGTGTAGGGTAGAGAGACAGCCCAGAATCCAAGTCAGGTGGCCGAGACTCTGGACCTGGGCCATCTGCTGGTCCCCTGCTGGCGACTGCAGGCCAGCTGGGTCTCAGAGACGGAGCTGAGCTATCTGGGAGGTTTTCCTCACCTTCAGATTCCTCCCGGGTCCTGGGAAATGTCCTTACAGGGGGGACTTGCAGCCAAGGGGGGAAGGAGAGAGAGTCAGGCAAGTGGGCACGGGCCTCTTGTACAGTCTCAGTCTTGGGCTCAGGTCCTGCTTGTGCTGTGGGCAGGCGGTGAGTTGCATGTGTCTGGAGGGCGTGTTAGGTGTTGGTGGGCCTTGGTTTCCCCAGAGCACATAGCAGCGAAGTTGGTTAGCCTTCTTCAGCTGTGTGCGTGCGTTTCCGTGTCCGCGTAGCTCAGGAGTGCACACGGGTGTGGGTGTGCGCACACAGCGGCGTGTCTACACAGCGTGCAGCCGGTCTGTGGGAGCGCAGAGAACCTTGGAGGCGGGGATGGGGATGACAAAGCTGGAGGGCTGAGAAGGATCAGAGCCGTAATTCCAGGGATAGCGACCAGAGCTGTACTCTCTCAGCACCTCCACATGTCACATGTGTCTTCCTTACCACAGTAACTTGAATAAGGCAACCCCCCACCTCACGCCCCGAAAAGGTAAGGAAACTGAGGTTGGGAGGAGCTAAGCCTTTAGCCCAGGGTCGCCAGCAGGCCAGAGGTAGAGCTGGGTGAGCGCTGCCTGAGGCCTGTGTGTTTAGGAGAGGAGCAAACACAGGCCAGAGGGAGCCCCAGTGCATGGGGGGGGGGCATGCACACATGTGTGTGCACCCCTGGCTGGGCCATGTCAGCAGGTGTGACTTGGGCACAGCAGTGTGCACAGCGGCCTATGTGTGTGTGTGCGAGTGTGAGCACACGGGGAGTGTCCGTACCGAGCATTTTGGTACAGCACAGTACGGATGGAGCGGAGACCTTCCTTGTCAAGGGCAGAGGAAGATGGAGAAAGAGACTGGTGCATTTGTTCCTTCTTTCTTCGGTCTGGAGGGAGTCCTGATCTCAGCCGATGTGGGGGCTCACAAACCTGGCCACTGCTTGGCATCACCGTTTTCGGACTCCCCACCCTGCCACCTTTCTGCAGGGAATCCCCTCCTAGATCTCGCTTGCTCTGCTCAGCGTCTGATGTGTGAACTTCCTCATAACCGTGATCCTTAAAGATATGAGCCCTCGAAACGCTGTCATCTGCCCCCCCCCGCCCCCATGGGGAGCAGGGACAAGGATAATGTGGAACCAGGCACAATTTTAGAGCATCTATTGTTCTTTGGTGTGAATGCCGTGATACTTTAAACTTTTTCTTTCCACACACCTCACTTTCTTCCCCAAGGAGCTGAAGGTGCAAATTGGAAGTGGCTGGAGAGCTAAGGCAGAGGGGAAGGCAGCCGACAGAAGGCGTGATTTGGGGGAGGGATGTTTGCCATCCTTTGCTGGTTGTCTCTGGCTGGTAACTCAGCAGGTCAGCATTCTCCGAGTCCGTGGACATTTGCTTGGCAGCCACTAGGACATTTCTCTGCCACGTGCCAGGCAGTGTGCTGGGGGCAGGGGCACAAAGATGAACAAGGCTTCGCAGTGCTGCCCTTTTGGAGCTCATAGAGGTGGGGTGGGGATGCCAAGGCGTGGACATGGATGTTTATCGTCAAGGGCCGTAAGGTAGATAACAGAGAACCCTTCTTTGCTAGAATAGGGAGGCTGCCTGTGAAGCTGGGTGGTCTCGCAAAGGTGGTACTTCAGCTGGGCATGGGAGGCAAGTGAAGGGGCAGGAGCATGCTGGGATTAAGTCCCCCCAGAAGCTGACCAAACTCTGGCTGGGGTGCTAAAACTCAAGGCACGCACATGTGTCGTGGGAGGAGCTGTGGGCGGCTGTTGGTTCGCCTGTTTCTTGGACAGAGGGCCTCAGACCCCTGTTCCTCAGTGCAGCTGGGACTGGCTCGGAAGGATTCTAGACCTGGCCAAAGAGAAGGGGAAGGGAAAGCAGGGTGGGGGCAAAGACAATCCTATAGAATCTTCTCTCTCCTCCCCTCTTTGATGGAGGTTCCACGTTGGCTCCCTCTGCCCCCATTTGACATCTACAAGGGGACACTGGAGCTGAGTGTCCTGGGCGCCCTCCTCTTCAGCTCTCTGGTGGCTGGCCCAGCCCACCCTCAGGCCCCACCAAAAGCTATTTAAACTGGCTTCAGGCACAGGAAGAGCTAGGGGTCAGGGTGGGAAAGGTCTGGTGACAGACACCCAGGGCACCATTTCCATCCCCACAGGCCTGGAACACACAGGCCCACTTTCCCTTTTCCCTCTGAGGGTACGAGGGCAGGAGGGCACAGACAGGATTCTTCCTGATGTCTGTGATGCGGCCAAGCCCCTCCCAGCGGCTGCCTTGTGGCTGGGCTGGGAGAGGACAAGGAAGAAGTCACTTTGGAGAAATGGTTTCAGTCTGCCCCTCCCCCTCCCACTCCTCTATCCCTCTCCTCACTCTCAAGAGTGACTTAAAGGATAATCAGACAGCTCACATGACAGAGCATTTACTCCATGGCAGTCCTAAGTGCTGTGCCTATCATAACATCTAATCCTTATAACAACCCTAGGAGCTGGGAAACGCTGCTGCCCCCATTTTACAGGTGAGGAAGCTGAGGCATGAGAAGTGACTTGCTTGAGGTCACCCGGGTAGTAAGCGGTGGAGTTGGGATGCAAACATGAGTAGTTGGACTCCAGAGTCCTACCCTTCTGCGGAGCACTTGCCACCCCGCTGTGATTGGGGGCAGAGGGTGTGCAGGGAATGTACTCCCGCCGCCCCCCCCCCCCAACGAGGAGTCGGGAGAACAGCTGGGGAGGCAGATGGCAGGTAGCAGTTGCAGAAGGGCCTTCCCGCGGGGGAGGATTCCTCAGCCCAGAGGGAACTCTGAGCTGGGAAGGGCTCAGGCAGGAAGGCTGCCCAGGGAGGTGAGCGACCAAGGTCTCCGCAAGGAGACCATGGTGTGAGGAGTGCCAGACAGGAGGAGGACTGGGAAGGGAGCTGGCGGCCGGAGCCTGGGTTCTGAGGCAGGACGGGGCGGCGCTCAGCCCCTCCACCTGCCGGACCCTGCCCCCCTGCCCGGGACGCCAGCGCCGCAGGGGCTGTGAGCGGTGGGTGGCCCCCGAGACGGAGCTGTCGAGTCTGTGCCTGACGCCTCTTTTCCCTCCACTCTCTTGGTCTCTTTCAGTTGGAGGAGGACAGACTCTCGGGGCACTCCCTCCCGCGGTACAGCCCTCTGCGACGACTGGCGTCCTCCGTGTTCTCCTCCTCCACGCTGGAGACCGAGCATTACCCTCACCCTGGCGGCGGCGGCTCCTCCGGTTCCCTCATTCAGCGCAGCCGCTCGGCGGAGAGCAGCCCCGTGCGGGCGCCCCACCGGCGCCACGCGCCCCTCGCCGCCGGCAACCACAGACTCGTGCCCTCGGTGCTCCGCATCTCGCGGTCCCAGCTGCAGCAGGTGTGGGCCCGCTTCACCCACAAGACCTAGGCTGGGCTCCCCCCCCTCCTGGAGGGGGCAGGTGGGGGGGGTGGGGAGCAGGCAGGGACCATGGTTCCTTCCCAGGACGCAATAATCACACACTCACACACCCCATCCCACCCCATCATGCAATACAGCCCCCTATAACGTTGGCCCAAGGTACTGTAATGCCCATCCCCACCCCCACGTCTCCCTTTGCTTGGTGCCAGCCAAATGGTGCAGGGGGATGGGTGGGGCTGTCGGTGCCGCTTCAGGGACAGGACAGAGACTCCCGGCTGGAGCCACCGTGGGTCCAGAGTCCAGTGGAAAGCAAGGTGTCAGGGAGACAAGGCATGCTGGGTCAGAGTCAGTCTGGCATGGAGTTGATTCTGTTTAATCTGGGATTTCTTGGCACGGCGGGGCCTGGTTCACCCCTGAGGTTGGGTGGCAGAAGACGGAGACCCTCCTGGGGTGTGTCTGTCTATCTGCATGGGGCGAGGCATGTGCCCCTGTGTCCGAGATGTGGGCCTGGTCGGCCAGGTTTGGGGTTTGGTAGGGAGTGCCTCCATACTCAGTGATGTGGGGGGCGGGGCGGGAGCAGTCCTGTGACCCAGTGAGCCTACCGCAGGCCACTGTCACAGAGGACAGAGCTCCCGCCTCCCACGTCTGACCCAGGAGGCCTGGAGCTCAGTCTACTAGGCTGCCCTTCACCCAAGGCATACATGCCGTCACCCCCTGCTGGGTCTGGTGGCCTGGCCCAGCTCCTTAGGAACTGAGGATGGATGAACGGGGCCTGGCATTTGCCCCTGAGAGGAAGCTGGAGCCTAGGGGTGAGGGAACCCAGTCTAGAAGCTGTAGCAGAGAGGGTCGGTTATTAAGGATGAGGTAGCACCTGTGAGCTCAGGACAAATCCCAGACAGCAGCAGCCCCACCAGGGCCCCTCTTAGAGGGTGACTCCTTCCTGTAGGTGCTCAGCCAAGCCAGTTGGCCCCCAGGGGCCATGGTGAAGACAGAGAACAGGGTAGGCAGATCGGCCGGGGATATGGAGATGGGTGAGGGGTCAGGATGCCAGATCGCAGTGTCCTTTCTGCTTATTTCTCAGCCCCCAACCTGTCACTGCAGGGACCTCCAAGGTTCCCTCTCCTCATTCCTGCCCCTGTCAGCCAGCACCTCCGTTTCCCTGGGCAGTGGAGTAGTGGTGAAGAGGGTGCCAGGAAGGGTGGTGCCTATACAGAAAGGGAAAGAAGGGATGAGACCTGAAGGCTTGCAAAATATTTATTGCAGTGAGACTGTATCTGTGTATATGCTTGTGTGCATGCATGTACGCTTGTGAGTATGAGTATGCTTATATATGAACATTTGTGCATGTGGCAGGGCTGCCATGGATAGATGCTCAGGCTGTGCACTGCACAATTCCGGGGAGGACAATTTACATTGACCCCAGTGTGAATGACACCACTGAATTTGCAGTGTTGCAGTCCTATGTGTGTGGGTGTGTGTGAGGGCGTACTTGTGTGTGTCAGGGAGTCAGAAAAATATTTGTGCAGTCCTTGGTAGTTTCCTATGTACCTACTCTCATCTTGGCTCCTCTCTCTACTGCCTTTTCCCTTTGACCCTTCTTCCTTCTCAACTCAACTCCCTTCAACTCCCCAGCTATCTCTGGTTGGAGTAGAGGCCTCAGGGTCCTTGCCCCAGCTTGGGGAGGTCATAAGTGGGTGGGCAGTGCTATTCGGCTGAAATGTCCTCATGGATGGCTGGCACTGTGTATAGCTCACTCACATGAGCTATGCCTACACTCACTACATTCTTTTCTTCAGAATCTGTTCTTTTTGGAGAATGTCTGGGCCAAGAGCACCTTCCTTATCTAGGAATGAAAGCCAGATTCATACCCTAATACTTGTGCCCCACTCCCACCTCATCTTAGCTGCTCACTTTTGAGCATCCCCAAGGTCAAGCCTCTGTTGCCTCCAGTCTGTTCTGGGTGGCTCTGCATCCTGCCCTGGCAGAGGGTAGAGGAGGGGTCAGGGTAGACACTTTGAAAAGAAAGGACAGAAAACACAAAGCACAAAGGTTAGGGGGTGGGAAGAACAGTAGCCCCACTCCCGCCTACTGCATTCCGGCACTGCCCCCTTGTCTCCCCCCTCCCCTCTGGCCCTCTTCCCATCCTCCCCAGCGAGTGGCAGGGGATGAAGTGAAGGGGAGTCTGTCCACCAGCAGCTCCAAAAGTCAGCAGCCGTGGGGTGGGGGCAGGGCCCATGCTATCTGGGGTTAGATGAAACCAAGCACTCGGTTATCCGGCATTCCCTTCCAGAGGGTTTCACTACCTGAGCACGGCTCCCACTCAATGACCAGAGCCCTGAGGTACTCTAAGATCCCAAAGTGCCTTGTGACTTATCAAAGATGACGGCACTAGCTTCAGCCTTGTTTTAGCATTAAATACATATTTCTATTTCCAAAGCCTTTGGAGGTGGGGAATCCTGTTAAGCATGCCAAAACTGGCTGAATTTTCACACACATACAGACACACACACACCCCAAAACTGATACCGGTGGGAGAGGGTGTGTCCTTTAAATTAAGATCATGATTCAGATATTTTGTCCTTTGAGGGACATCCTTTTGTGTACCCTCTGTGGTGGCGGGGAGAGCATCTTGTAAGCCATAAAGCTCTGAGCCAACAGGAGGGGATCTTGGTAACATGATTATCTTTTGAGGAAATAGCGAAGGCCATTTGAAGCCACATGTGTTGGGTCAAGTTCACGTGCAGCTCGGCAGAGCCGTGAATGGTTTGGAGTAAGTTCCTTGTCTCTAGGTCCCAGGTTGGGTAAGGCAGTTGTGAGTCTGCAGTGTTGTCAGGCTCTTTCTCCGAAGGGTTTCCCAAAGAGGAGGTCAGAATGTTTCAAGAAATGATTCCCTGCTGGGGGAAAGCGCACAGCCTCCCCAGGGTCAGCTTTGAAAAGAGGCAGCACTCTTTGCTGTACTTTGAAAATGGTGTTTTTGTACTTTATAGTCACACCCTGCATATAGTGGTGGCTTCCAATTATTAATTTATTATTTTATTAAATGGTCACTGGCACACAGTGCTTATTATGTGCCAGGCAGTGATCTAAGCACTTTACAAAATTAACTCATTTAACCCTCATAATAGCCTATGAGGTCGATTCCAGTATTATCTGCATTTAATGGATTAGTCAGAATATTTCATTTACAAAAATATAAAAACCAATGCCGAATAACTGAAGTCTTGTTTGATAGGAGTTTTAGAACCTTTTAGTCTGTGTAGTGATCTATTTCCTGTCCTTTCTGCTTGGCCCCTCCTCACTCTAACTGAAAGGAAGGAGTTGTCTCGGAGCCAGACTCTCCTTCCCTCTCCATTTCCACCTCGGTGTGGGATGGTGTGGGGTGGGGGGAAGTCACTCCAGAGCACCAGGGTTGGTTGAAGTGGCCCACCCTATCTCTCCAGAAACCCCACCTCTCCATCCCAAGCATCCCAGAACAGCTCTGGAGATTCAGTAGGTGGAGGAAGAGCTACAGTGAGAAGGCAGGCGCTCAGAACCATGAACTCAAGGTATTGGGGGGGCGGGCGGAGGGGGGTCCTGGGCTTCGGGCTCACAGATAGGGCAGGTACTGGCATTGGTGAGCACTGGCCATGGGGATTTGAGCCCAGTGTCACCAACTCACACCACAGCAGGGGCCAAGCCATGTCAAAGAGTGGCCAGGTTTGGGGGCTGTGGTCAGTGGGAGACGCACTCCCCCCATCCTCAGCTCAGCCAACTGCTGCAACTATCTTCCAATTTTTATGTGAAATCTCGCAATTTTTAATTATTGCCATGAAATTTTAAAAAACTTTTTAAAGAAATATCACTCTGAGCCAAACAAAACTGGCTTAAGGGCAGAGACCCTGAACTCAGTTTGCAACCTCTGTGAGCCTGAGGACTCCCCACCCCCTTCTCCTGTCCAAGGCTGCAGCACTTCAAGGGGGATGGTGTTCTTCCTGGGAACTCAAATCAGGTGGGCTTCTTAGAGGTGGCAGCTCACAGCCAGTGGGGATGTGTGGTGTGTGCTTTGTGTACATGTCGGTGACCTCATGGTTTGTGTGCCTGAATATGTATGTGGGCCAGTGGACTTGTTTGTGGTAAGTGGGGTCCTCCTGGCAGGACCAGTATTTTCTCTGACGGCATAGGACCCTGGGTGAGTGAAAAATGCTCTAGTGAATTCTCAGTAATCAGTAGACACCCCCACGCACTCAAGGCAGCTTGGGTCACAGCAATAACCACTCAACACTCATCCCAACCACTAGCATCCTGAACCCATCAATCTCCCTCTGCATTTCCAGTTTTGGGGAAAATGGGCACAGCCTTGCCCAGCACGTGGGGGAATGATGGCACCTTTGAGCCATGCTGGTACATTAACGCTTGCTTCCCCAGCCAAGAGGGGTGGGCCAGACCCCTTCAATCACAGGAAAAGGTAGGGGTCCTCCTCTCTGTAGAGGGTCCCAGGACCCTCCTTTTCTCTCCTCTGCCCTGCCTAGGTCCCTTTTTCTGGGGAAGGGTGGTGCTGTGTGTCCAGGCAGTGGTGGGGGGAGCTTGGGCCACTGGATGGCAGAGGAGCTGTGGCAAATGTGTCTATATTGAGTGGGCAGGGGAGACCATGCTTAAGAGTGTGTAGGGACCCCTGGCTGTGTGAGGATGGAATATCCTCTGCTGTCTTTGGGTTGCTTTGGTACCTGAGGATGGAAGCACAGACCCCTAAGGAGGGCCTGAACATCACCCCACCCTACCCTAAACTCCACTGAGATTCCAACCCAAAGGGCAGGAATCAGCCCACCCCATACAGTAGCCAGCACCTTGGCAACAAGGAGTGGCAAATCACTCTCCTTAAGTTGGGGGGCGTGTCCCCAAAGTTTGCATTATTCCCATTAGGGACAGAAGGGTCCCCTGGGACTAGCGGGTCAGCCTCTGAAATTTTTAAAGCATCCTTCTCCCTAAGGGAGAGGCCCCCA